CCCCCGACGGTGAGTGGGGGGTCCCGAGCGGCGCCGCAGCCTCCCCAGCCGCGCGCAGGGGGCTGCGGGGCCAAGTCACCAGGTCACTCCCTGGTGCCAGATCGGAGGTTGTTATCTCTGGGGATCAGGCCCCGGGTTTGCGCTGTTTTCACTTTGTGTCTGGGCATGTGGTTGGTAGAAGGACTTCAATGTAAGGACATGGAACTGTTGGAGCAAGTCTAGAGGAGGCCAAGAAGCTGATATAAGAGGGTTGGAGCATCTGCCCTAGCATCTCCCCTATGAGGACAGGCTGAGGAAGTTGGGGCTGTCCAGCCTGGAGAGGAGGAGAAGGTTGTGTAGGGACCTCATAGGACCTTCCAGTGTCTGAAGGGGCTCCAGGGAAGTTGGAAAAGGACTCTGTTAGAAGCTGCAGTGACGGGACCAGGAGCAATGGGTACAGATTGAAAGAGGGGAAATTTAGTTTAGATATTCGGAAGAAGTTTTTCCTGTGAAGTTGGTGAGACACTGGCATGTTTGCCCGGGGAGGTAGTGGATGCCCCAACCCTGGCAATGTTCAGAGCCAGGCTGGGTGAGACCTTGACCAGCCTGGTCTAGTGAGAGGTGTCCCTGCCCATGGCAGAGGGTAGGGACTAGATGATCTGTAAGGTCCATTTCAACCCCTACAGTTCTGTGATTGTGTACAGATGATGCTTCGTGATTATGAAGATACTTATCCCCGGGAAAGCTTCCCGGTGCTTTGTGGAAGGGTGGGTAACTGCATGACTAGGAACAGGTCAACCTTTAAGACAAAATAGAATGTTAAAATGTGGTGTTCTTTCTGTGCCACACAAGTCAGAGTCTCACCTAGTGTTTTCTGTGTCAAACCCATTCTATGCCAGCAGGTGGTTGGAGCCATGCCTCAGGCTGAAGAGGACTGTGTTAAATCATGAAACAGATCATTGACTTAGTTATTTTCATGCCTTTCTAAATGTTTGAAACATAGGTTTCAGCGTGAGGCCTTTCACCTGCATAACAACAGCTGCCACAGGAGCCTCTGGGGATTTTGATATAGTTTGTTCCATGCCGTTGACCCTTCTTCTTCTTAATTCTGCTTTTCTGGGGGGACAGGACAAATCTTAGCACGGACAAGATTTTACAGGTTAGCAAGTGGTAGTTATTTACTTAATTAGGAGACTATTTTAAGCTTCATGTACATTAAACTTCAGGGCACAGTGACCTTGGTGGTGTTGCTGGCTCAGTCCTTGGGCAGTGGGGGGGAGTGGTGGTTCTGTCTGCTCAGAGCTGCTCAGCTTGATTGTCTGCGTGGTTAGGTGCTTACCAAGTGTGACAGCAGTGCATCTTTCTTCTGGTCTCAGCAGATGCCCCTGAGTGGTTTTGTCGTGGCTCTGTTTTGCAGACTCGGAAGAGGCAGAAGCCTGTCAGTGAGACAGAGAGTGGAGAATGTTACAGGTCACCTTTCCGGAAACCGTTGGCTCAACTGACCAACAGACCTCACTGCCTGGACAGCAGTCAGCATGTAAGTAAGTGGGGGTTGCAGCTGGCACACCACAGCAGGTGGTGTGAGTATGGAGCTCATTCCTCAAGGAAGTCCAAGTGCTTTCATGACTTTCATCAGAGGTGTTATGGAAATACCACACACACACACAGTCTTTAGGAGAGGCCTTTTGCTTGCTCCAACCATTTAATGTTGAAGGAGGTGTGAGGAACCTTCTGTAGTGGAAATCCTGAATGAGAGAGTTGTGTGGGGCACAGGTGAAGGACAGTTGGACTCGATGACCTCAGAGGTATTTTCCAACCTTGATGATTCTGTGGCAATGCCCAGGGACATGCATAGCTTTCCACACAGGTGGGTCCAGTGCTATCTGCTTGCTTAGTTGTCCCTGGGCTTCCACTGCTGAAGACCACATCTTGGACTGGGTGGGTGCTTGTTGATCCAGCATGGATGTTCCTGCAATGGTAACCCAGCTTCTTTACAGGAAATGAGTTGCCTGACTGAATTACCAAGGCAGGGGGAAGCTATAACTTTTAAAGAAGTGTATAAAGCCAGTGGATTTAGGAAGATGGGAGTTCTGAAAAAATCAATTTCATGCATTAGAAAGCCCAAAGGAAAATAGTTTTGAAAAGCAGAGTTGGTGGAAGGAATTGTGCTGATTTATTACTTTCTTCCTTTTGGATATTCTTGAAAATAGTTGGAGCTGAGGCTTGAATAGATTAAATAGAGAGACTCTGAGCACTTGGCAGAATTGAATTGAGGTCTCAAAAAATGTCCTGGACTTGCCTTCTTGAGCAGTCTCTGATTTGAGACTTCTTAAACGTGTTTTCTTTTTGAATTCCTAGGAGGCTTTCATCCGCAGCATTTTGTCCAAGCCCTTCAAAGTCCCCATTCCAAATTACAAAGGTAAGATGAGGAGGTTTAAGGACTGTCTGTGTTGGCTGACTCGGGTAAAACAGATGATGCCTAGGCCTGTCAAATATATCTGCGGGGATTATTGTTATTTTTTGCACTGATGCATATGTTCCAGAAATCCTGACTTAATTTTGAAAGGAAAATACTGGCATATTAGCAAAGTCTTCATATTTCTTCCTAGTGTTTAGTTTGGATAATCCTACATTTCAGAATGGGATTTTGTAGTCTTACTGCTCTGTATTTGATGTGGTGCCAGGAGATTTTACACCCTATCACAAATACAAAAATGAGATGAATTCCAAGCCATGAAGGTTTACCACTGAAAGAATGATACCAACAGACAGAAGGCTGAGGTGAAGAAGATAGTATGTGCCAGTTTTCTTTCTACTTGGCTTGGTGTGTTGAGCCTCAAGGTGATCTTCAAAACAAGGCCGTTTTGAAGTTCAATGCCTCAGCTGGTTTGAATCAGTGAAACACAAGATCTCAGAAACAAATGGGCACGTTCGTGTCTTCTGCTTCCTCTTCACCCTCCAGCTGAAAAACTCGAATGCAAATTGACCAGTTTCACTCAAAGTTTAGTTATAAAAACATGTCTCTAAGCAGACACTGACTATGAAATGACAAGCCCCAAAAGAGTTTGTCAAAGTTAGCTTGTGGAAAAGCAGATTTGTCTGGAGGCTGAAACAGATCTCCTAACTGGGAAGACTGCTTACTGTGGCTGTTATCTTCCTCTCTTAATTGGGAAATGTGGCTGTTTCATGTGCTCGTTTCTTGGTGTGTGTGTGTGCTGTTGTCTCAGCTTGTGATACACTCCTGTTTTGCAAGGAGCTGTTTTTGCAAGCAGTGGGCAAATAGACTCTGTTTGAATTCTTTCCAAGCAAAATCAATCCTAGAAGCACAGTTGCCCAAGTTTTGATGGGTAAAGGGATTTCTGTATACGTTCTTGTTGTGTTCATCTCTGTTCCAAAACTGTAACATCGAAGTATAATACTAGGAAAAGGGACTCGTGCTTGGTTTCTGCTTTTCACAGAAATTGGCTCTAAAGCCAGATATCTACTATTGCTCAGCAGAGAGAAAATAAAACTCTAGAATAGGCAGTGGCATTATGATGTTAACTTTGATACTGTAGAACTTCATCACTTTTAAAGATCAATTCCTGACCTTGCATTAAAGACACAACTCTGGCTGAGTCTGGGTTAGGTGATCCCAAAAGAGGATTTGATCCAGTATACAATATATGTGGGAATGTATTTGTTGCACTGCTGAGGCATACATTCTGGAACCCTGCTTGGCTTTCAAAAACTGGAACAACCACCTCCGGGCAGGCAGTGCCACTGCTCCGTCTTTGCCTCTGTTCCTTCATTCTGTTCGTTCCTGCCGCAGAGCTTCCCGCTGTGTGCTGGCAGAGTGCTGCCAATGGCCCTGCTTAGGTTTGCTGCCTGTGCCAGCTGTGTGTGCATCTCCTCTCCAGCACCCAACTAATTCACTGTTCCTAAATGTAATCAGACACTTCTGCAAGGCTCTCTCTGCTTTCTTTCAGGAAGATGATGTTCTTTGAGTTGTGCCTTTGTTTGCTTCCAGGGCCCCTGGGCTTGCGTTCGCTAGGAATCAAGCGGGCAGGAGTGAGGAGTCCTCTCCATGACCCGTTTGAGGAAGGAGCTCTGGTTCTGTATGAGCCCCCGGTGCTGAGTGCCCATGACCAGCTGAAAATAGACAAGTGAGTCATCACCTGGCACAAATACTCCAGCTCTGACCTCCTTCTGAGTGTAGGTTTATGTGCTTTTCTCCCAAACGTGTTTGAGCTGGGGTCTGAACATCAGGGGAATTTTGGTTTCCAAGTATTCTACCTCTGAACTGATTCAGGTATGGTAGCAATCAAAGAAGGAATGTACCCATGCTGGATTGTTTGCGTTCTTCCACAGACTGTTTCATCTCCCACGTATCAAAAATTCCAACCTGTTGCAGGGAATGAGCATGTACTCATGGAGAAGCTGCTTAGAAAATCTTATGGCTTAGTTATTAGTCAGGAAACATCATCATCTAAGGACAAGCAAAGGGAGATGACTGACAGTCAAATGTGAAGCTGCCTAATGTTTTTTATTTTGAAGTAGTTTCTCTTTTGCTTAAAAGGGCTGTCACCTAGATCTTCATGGACAGAGGCGGGGGTTTCTCTCTCCAGTAATGCAGTTACAATATTGTTATCAAAACAAGAAAAATAATGACTTTTAACTGTGTTTCTGAACCACATTCTGCCCTTGTTTTAACCACAGCCCACATACATGATTTCACTGATGTATTAGACTGTGTAGCTGTGACTTCATTCTCAAAACTAAATTAATCCAACTTTCTTGTTGGCAGTCTCTTCTCTTGTGCCTCTGGGGAGTCCTCAGAATAGCAGTGAGATTTAACAAAACCTAAACATACGCTGTGCCGAGTTCATTAATCACACTGTCTTCTTCCTTGACTGCCTTCTGCAGAGACAAAGCACCTGTCCATGTTGTAGTGGATCCTGTCCTCAGCCGTGTGTTACGGCCCCATCAGAGAGAAGTAAGTTTTCCATCGGGACCTGAGGGTGTGGTTAGAGGATTTGGTGCATCTCAGAAAGCTGCAGTTTATCTGCTGAAATTGTTACAGGTTTACATAGACCTCACAAACTAACAGTCCGTGACAGTCTAACAGACTCTAATCAGTTGCAAATGCAAAGTGAAACTTGTTTTCACTATCCTCTCAGAGACCTGAATGCTGCCAGTATTCTCTGTCCCACGTTAAGTAAGAGGATGTGCTGATAGTATTGCAACAGTCCTGTTTGTCCTTAAAAATGTGGAAATTTACTGCTTTCTTGTGGGTAAGAACTTTCTCTTCTCTTGCCTCTGAGCTGGGAGGGTCAGAGCACTCCCAGACCAAACACGATGGTGCCTAATGCACAGGAATGTTCTCTGTGGGGCTGTAGATCAGGTCAGCTGGTAGTGGAAACTGGAGTTTCTGTGACCATCATGCACAGGTCTAGGAAAGCACATTGGCCAATGATTGTGTGACCTTAGGAAAAGACCAGATTCTGCAGGGAGATGGGATCTTGCACAGTCAGGGCTGAAAGTCCTGCCTTTACTTGCCTTGAAGTCTGGAGATGTAGCTCTGCTGAGTGGGATTAAGTGTGGAAGGTGGTGGGATATAGTTGCAATGAATTATGTTACAGCCCAATCTTAGTCAGGCAGGGCAGGCTGTCCACTACGATGTTTTGTTGCTCAGTAGAACTAATTGGATCTGCAGCCTCTGAGCCTGGAAACACTGAAGCACTTCTTTCTGATACCATGATTCCCAGCACATTGTGCAGTCGGTTCCTGCTGCAGTGTGTTTTATTCCAAAGCTGCACTTTGTAGGTGTGAGCCATCCATGATCCACACAGACTTGGAATTTGAATGTGAAGAGTGCCCAAGAATATTTTATGTTGTAAATATGCACAGTATCATAATATCACAGCAGTGAGTACAGATCTCCAAATATCTAATGGAGGTATCTGGACAGTTTGAAGTTCATCCCAGATGCAGTAAGTATATTATCATTTAAGCCTGAAGGCAGCACAGATGGAAGCTGTAATTCCTGATCTTGCAGCCTAAGCAGGTCAAGCTGGATGTGTCCCTGCATGGGAGATCTTCAGATGGCTCTTAGAGCTTGTACTTACATCTCAGAGCTGGTACTGAACCTGTGGCCCAATGTAGTGCTCATCTCTGGCTATATAGCTGGAGGTGCTCTGGTTTTGGGTAAACTACTACTCACTGGTGTTTTGTCAGTAATCAAAGTTACACTGGTGTCTTAGGCACACTGTTTTTTGGCAGATACAGCAGTTTCCATTCTAGTCTGACTAGTAAGTCTCTGCCTGCTAAAATTCCTATGCTGCTTTATTCAGGTGATGCTCCACTCCAGCTGTGTTGTGATTTTTTGCCTAGTTGCTGGAAGGTTACCCAACTGGTTCTGCAGCCAAATGCACTCTTGTAGTCAGTAATGTGTTTGTTAATTGTTCAAACTGGCTTAAATACATTTCATTAACCTGTTGGTAAGGGCCTAAGAAAGAAGGAAATGGACTTGAAAATGCAAGTGAAGGTGCTCCATCTTCCAGTCCTGAGGAGTGGAGTACAAGGGGGAGTGAATCCATGCAGGTGTGTTTAGGTTGTGTCCCTCACTCCCTGCTCTGTTGACACAATGCAGGGAGCTTGTAGTTCCCAGCACAATGCCCTGGTTTTCTCTGACTCTCTTATCATCACATGGTAGAGGAACAGTTTGCAGACTGTCTCTTTTTTTTTTTTTCCCTCCTTTTATCTGTCTCAAAGTGATGTGTCAGAGCCTAATGCAGGGCTGAGCTCTTCTCCCACCATGTGACGTAGGTTATAACCTCAGCCCTGTGTCTTCTCTAATGCTAAATCTGCTTTGGAACTTGAGCCCTCAGGTGAGTCATTGTGCTTCTAGGCAGAAGTGATGAGGGCTGCTCAATGTATTCTGGGAATTAATCAGGCACCAGAAACAATTCTGCTCACTCTATGATTCTGTGTTTTCAAAATTACCTAATTGGGTAGTGTAAAGATGATTAACCTCTTTGAAATGATCAGTGCTTGTTAGTTCATGGCCTGGGCCTATCTAATGCAGTCAAGGGTAGAAATTTATGGCAATTCATGTCAGGAAGCTAGTTATAATTGTACAGTTAAAATGTAGTAAGATTTCATGCATGTTATGAGGCAAATGTAGGCACCAGTAAAGTTGCTCCAACCCAGATGTGGCTGCATTTTATCTGTGTCTCAGGTGATTTCCCTCTGTCTCATTAGAGCACTGCACGTCCCCAGGGTTGTGTGTGCTACACAGATTTGATGTTTGTTGTAGTATCAGTCCTGTGCATGGTGGTAATGAAGTTGTCGTTCTGCTGATGTTCCCATCCTGCTCTGAGAGAAGATTTTTTTGACAGGGAGTGAAATTCCTCTGGGACTGTGTGATGAGCCGACGGATCCCTGGGAGTCATGGCTGCATCATGGCAGATGAAATGGGGCTGGGCAAAACTCTGCAGTGCATCACACTCATGTGGACACTTCTCCGGCAAAGTCCGGACTGCAAACCTGAAATCGAGAAAGCCATGGTGGTGTCTCCCTCCAGCCTGGTGAGAAACTGGTACAATGAAGTAGAGAAATGGCTGGGGGGCAGGATCCAGCCATTGGCCATTGATGGAGGCTCCAAAGAAGAGATTGACCGTAAACTAGGTACAGAAGTATTTGCAAACTCTGTGTTTGGCTCATTTATGTCGAAATCTTGCATTGGAAGAAGCTCACAGCAGCTGATGTGAACGTCTCTGAGCTGCCAGTAGAGCTCTGTAGACTGATGAAAGTCTCTCCACTGACATGTTTAGATCAGGCTTTTGCATGTTTGGGAATAATCCCAATCCAGTCATGTGTTAAAATTAGGGCAGTCCCAGTGCCTCTACTTTGTTCCAGCCAGAAGGCAGGAAAAGAGGTGGGAGAGGAATGGAACTGGGGACAGCTGTGGGATAAGGAGGATGGGTATACATGTGTGGAAGGGATGTTGCACAGTAGTTGAAACAGACATGTTTTCCTAGATTTCTTAAGGCAAAAGTTTCTGCTATTTGATTCCTGTTCTATTAGTTTATCTTATCCTTCTTTTTATTCATTTTATCCCTTTCAACTACAGTTGGCTTTATGAACCAGCGTGGCCTGCGAGTGCCTTCACCCATCCTGATCATCTCCTATGAGACCTTCCGACTCCACGCTGAGGTGTTACAGAAGGGCAGTGTTGGGCTGGTCATATGTGACGAGGTACAGGGGCGTCTTTAAGGAGAATCCGTTCCTGGTATTTTCATGAGATCTGGGTGAATCTGGATCTGCTTTTTTAAAAGTGGGTAGGAGACCGGGGAAACGAGGCTTAGCTGTGGACAGCAGCCATTCTGGGGTTTGAGAGGCTCTAAGTAACCAGGTCAATTATACTGGGTGAGCCTGAACAAGACGTGGTGTCATGAGCCAAGATATGAGGAAAATCCGGTTAGTGGTAACTGGCCACTTTGTAGGTTCCTGGCAGGGTGGGAGCACCTACTAGGGCCCCCTCAGTGTGAAATATGTAGCAGGAAGGAGGTCCACTGCCTGTCTCTGGCTCTGTTGGGATGGTAGTGCCCTGGCTCACTGTCCGGTTTTGCATCTGTTTGTGTATGTCTTTGCTAAAGAGAGAAGTGCTTTCTGTTTGGCTTGGCCTTATGAGAACATAACCCAGTGATTTTTTTTCACTCGGCTCTGTTTAGAGCAAGAGGTTGGACTAGAGACACCTAAGGTCTCTCCCAACCTAAATAATTCTGTGATTCAGCCTGCTCTTGTGTGTAGTGTTGGCTGCTGTCAGCCATTTTATCTGGCCATCTTATTCTGGGCTTGTAGGGGAGTCTGAAGGGCACTCCCATGGCAGGACCTTCTTTCCCTCTCTGTAATGTTGTGCCTGGGGCAGAGGTAGGAGAGCTGAGTGAGGAATTACCTTGTGCTGTTTGTTCAAGAGGAGGCAGAGCTGGCTTGATTGCCAACTCGCTGACTGCTGGATCAAGCTTTGCCAAGCCTGTGTTGTCAAGCTCTGCTTTCATGTGGCCGAAATTGAGTTGTTTTTTCATTTATCGTTGCCCATGTGTGGTTATTGGTAGTGAGAGCCAGAGACATTTTGAAGGACAAAATGAAACAAATGTTCTCTGCCTCCTTGAAACGATCAAGCTGAGGCGACTGTTGAGGTGTGCAGTGCTGCGGGATAGAAGGGATTTGTTAAAGAGCTGTGCCACCCAGTGGTTTGGATCTGTAGTGGCTAGAACAGTGAGAGGCTTGCAAAGGACGAGTGCAACTCCAGTACATCTTTTATCTACCGAGTCCCTGACTGCCCACGCCTCTCAGTGCTCCTGGGATGAGGCCAGCAGCTGGGGAGGATGGGAATGCACATCCTTGGCCTTGTCTCTTCTGTACGTTCCCAGTAAGTACTCATCTCTGCTGTGGTCTGGCACTTGTGAAAAGCATCTTATCACTTGTGCTTTGTCCTGCATAGCATTCAAATGCTAATAAAGTAACTTTTCCCAGGCATGAGAATGGGGCCCGCATTCAGATTAGCCCTATAAGAGATGCAGAATCTCTTTTTATTAGTATGTAAAGGTCTGGCAATTCTGAATATAGGTGGCCTGAATGCCTTGTGATCTTGACCTTGGGTGAAACAATGTTACTGGTCCAGAGTGTAGTTCCTGTCACTGATAGCTGAAAACATCCCTATCTTTCAACAGGAAACAGTTCTTACATTTAGACCATATGGTGGTGTTTATTTTCATGGTATTTTAATTTCTTGCCTGGATATGGCTTGGATATTGCTGGTATGGGAAACTTGGCTTCAGGTTTTCCACCAGATTCTTGCCTTCGAAAAAAGTGTGGCACAACACTTACTCCACAACCAGGAATGGGAAAAGTGAGATGCCTTGTCGGAGACACAGTGTATCAGTATTGATGAGGCTGTCCAAGCTGATTCCCAACAGGGTCACTGGATTTATCATCTTCATTCCTTTTTTGTGTTCTTTTAAAGGGCCATAGGTTGAAGAACTCTGAAAACCAAACATACCAGGCTCTCAACAGCTTAAACACACCTCGACGAGTCCTGATCTCAGGCACCCCCATTCAGAACGACCTGCTTGAGTATTTCAGCCTGGTGCACTTCGTCAATTCAGGCATCCTTGGTAAGAGGTGAATGTGTGAGAGATGTGAGGGAGGGGAAGTTGCTGTCCAGGCCGCTCCCAGCTGCCAGTGCCAGCAAAAGCAACAACCAGTACATTAGTGAGAGGAAAGATCATGGCAGGGAGCTTGGAATTAGGTGATCTTTAGGGTCCCTTCCTACCCAAACAGTCATATGATCCTATGAGACTTAATTCTCTTTCAGTTTGTAACCAGAAAGTGTAGATCAGGGTCCCCTGTTGTAGAGGCTCTCTTTCATCAGAGCTCTGTTTCAGGAAGATTGTAATTTAAAGTATGCCAGTGTAACAGGTATTTTGGAAGGGGAATCAATTCAGGTAAAATGAATATATGAACCTGAGTACTACATGACTAATTTTGAGTACCTATAATGGCCAGTCAAAATGTCCACATAGACTAGGAGTTTCTCTGACAATAAGCCTTTGGAGATACCACGGGAGTTGCTGGACAGGAAGGTCCAGCTCATAATGGAACTTCCCACAACACTCCCAGGCTATAGCAAATTCAGAAATTTAAGCGAGGAATGATGTCTTTGTGGGAGAAAGGCTCTGTGGAGAGGAGGGTTTGATGTAACATGCTCTCTGCAATGAGTGAGGCAGAGAGGCAGCCTGGGACATAGCTTTTTCCTGCTCTCTCTCTCTCATCCCCATCTGGCACAGGAGGTTGAAGTGACTGATGCAAAGTGGAATGGTGTATCTTGTGGGAGAGTAAAAAAGCCCCAGTTTCTGGCAGTCTGCCATCCCAGTTTCAGATACTCTGAGAGAAGGTTGAGGGTGATGTCTAGCACTGGAGTCAAGACTGCTCTTGTCTTTTAAAGCAAAGGAGGCCTATGATTATGGGGTTAATTTCATCTGAGATAGAAAAGAGTCTGGAGGAGAGCTGCTGATTAATGTGAGTTTGCAGGATCAAACACCTACAACTACTGGTAGCAGACTGAAGTCTTCTGTCTCTATCTCCTGTGCTCTGCTTAGGTCTGCAAGCTCTGTTTTCATTTTAAAAGCAGAGTTGTCTTTGCATCCTCTCCTGCGTCACTGGGAGTAGGTCTACTACTTTCCAGTGTGGAACAGCTTGTCTTTGTCAAGAGTGGTCTTCTTTCTGCCAAGGAATTAAAATAAACCAATCTGTAAATCATTTCTTTGTTGCTGTAACTCGTCACCCGTGGTAGTCTCAGGTTGTTGGACATCCAGTCCAAGAGGCTTCTCATTAATTCTAGTGCATGCACAACTCTAGTTAAACACAGTTCATCAGGTTCTTAGTCTTGCAAGCAGCATTTGGGCTGTAGCTTTTTCTGCTCAGCTGTTCTGCCCCCAGGATTTCTCAAGGAAAGGATGGGATGGAGTAGTAGAAATTCCATGTCTACTTTTTCCATGTGCTTCAATTTTGGGCAGTTATTAGAGGGAGCTGGTGTGATTTACCTGCCACCCTTGACCTGTACTTTGGGTGAGATTAGTCTCCCTGTACTTCCATTTCGTTCTTTGAGATGAGGTTAATACTGTACCTGCTGCTGCAAAGCTGCATGTACACAGCAGTCCTTTTCCCCACTTCCAGCCTGTGACCAGTAATAAGCAACTGATTACAGGTAATTTTGGAGCAGGCACACATAATGCCTGTGCTGTTGTTTGCAAGGACAAAATCTGGGAGTAAAAGTATAGCTGGAATGTGAACAAAAACAGTACATGTCTGACTGGACTCAAGTGTAACTAAAATGGTGTGACCTCTGGCTGTGCACTGCTCTTGGACTACAAAGTGATTTTCTGTTATACTGATTTGCCTTGTTTGAGTCTTTCCTGGCTAGAAAGAAAAACAAATCATGTGGATGGGGTGAGGGTTTGTTTTATGTGCTGGGCTCTGTGCTTGGGATGTGGTACCTGGGGCTGTGGGATACTGATCAAAGGTTATTTGGTATTAGTTGTCACCTTTTCACTTCTGTTTTGTACAGGAACTGCACAGGAATTCAAAAGACATTTTGAACTTCCCATCTTGAAAGGCAGAGATGCGGATGCAAGTGAAGCTGAGCGACACAAAGGAGAAGAGAGGCTTAAAGAGCTCATCAGTATTGTGAACAGGTGAACTTCATCCCTCTTCTCTTTGCAGAGCTTTTGCATAAACCCTTTGCATAAGCCCTGCTATCTTTCCAAATTACAGTTGTAGCTGTAATGAGTTCTCTTGCCAGTTACGTCTATTCAGCAAGTGATTGTGCAAGTGTTTATTGCCTAAGAAATCTACACAGCATGTAGCTTTAGTGCAAAAAATGGCACTTTGACATGGCACAGTCATCTGCAGTCACCCTCAAGCAAGTGTAGTAAGGTACTGAATCATGATTTGACTCTTTCTGTTTCTGTTTTCTCCTGGGATCTGAATAATTAGGCGGAATCCTTTTTCATTTGTTTTAACATAACTACAAGTGCAGCCTGGGTCAGTCTGGAGATCCATCCAGCCCAAATGTTAAGTTGAAGAGAGTGTAAGGAATGTCACTCGGTTCTGCTGCTGAGCACCCCAGTCACAAAAGAGTCCAGCTTACACTTTGTTGTGTTGGCTCTGTAGGTATGTAAGATAGACTACTAGTGTCAGAGATGGACTTTGGATCCCTAAGAAGCACATCTGTGATGTAAAATGCTTATTTATTTTAGGTTGATTTTTGGTGTTTGTTTAAACCTGTTTTCTCTTCATGAATACAACCAATTTATCCGCATCTGCTGGCAATTGCTTGACTCTCTCTAAGAACTCTTGCTAGAAAAGACTTAATTCTCAACATTGCTGGTGTTTTCAGTTCTTTTTCTGATTTCTTTTTTGTGTGTGTGAGTTTGTTTTGTGTTTGTTTTGGGTTTTTTAATATGATCTTTTGCAACCGTCACAAATACAATCCTGCAGTTCACTGTCATGGTAAATGTAACTTGACACCAAGTATAGTCTCTCTATAGAGACAGGACTGACCTTGACTCAGATCAGCTTGCAGAATCCTAAGAAAAAGGAAAGGTTGGGAGAAGGACTTACTCCTTCTTGAGGTGCATTTATTTATTTTTATAGTTGATGGAAAAGGGGTGTAAAAGTGTGTTCAGGAATGCTTGTGCTTGGCTCTGTTGAGGTCTCTGTCCTTTATTGTGCAGTGGTCATGATACACAAATAGGGAAGATAAAGCATGCAGGTAGCAGATGAATCTGTTGAATTTGGTAAGAATTGCAGATGGGACGGTGATGACATGTGGAATCATAGTTATAAGGCTAGGAGGGTCCTGGAGAAGGCATCTTATCCATTTTGCTGACCTAAGGTAGAAGGTTTTAGACCTAAACCATCTCTTGCTTAACCCCCACCCAGTAATGAAGACCTTGCAATTTCCTAGGACACCTTTTCCAGGGCATTGCTGTCTTTGCAGTTAGAAAATGCTCTTAATGTGTAACATAAATCTTCCTTACTGCAGTGTAAGCCTATTACTTTTCATCCTGCTGCTTATGGGTTCGGAGACCAGATTATTCCTTTATTTTCCAGCCTTTGACAGATTTTAGGGCTGTCATATATCCCTGCTGTCTTTCTTCTATGGGTTTTGTAACATATTTTTGATGTTTCCTGGCAGAACTGGGTTTCTGCACCTCTTATGCTGGTTGCTTGGTTCAGCACTTTTTCTAGTCCATCCCACCTTTCCTAAAGTATGGTAGAACTGCTCCATGGGAGACTTCCAGAGCCCCAAAGTGTATGCACTTTGCTGAAATCTTGGGCCAGGCAATGAGCCCATTTTGGCTGAGAATAGCTACCAAGTGTGGAGCTGCCTGCTTGTCCTTTGGGTTATGTCCACAGCGTGTGGTGGTTAATTCCTGTCCTTGTCTGCTGTCTGTTTCAGCTCAAATTGTGAATGGTGTTGGTACTCTGAGGGAGAGCACAATTTCTCTTGTAAGTGACTGAGCCCTGTTAGGTGAAATCATGCCTGATCCCTCCAAATCTCATGAACTACATTTAGAAGGCTCACCAAGACAGTGGGTTACATTGGGCTCTGCAGCATGGCTTCATGTGCATGGTGTGTGTCTGGCCTTTGCCATGTGTTGGACTGTCACAGACCTTCAGAGATATAAAAGGGACTTTAACCACATGAGAAATAATAGTGATAAGACAAGGTTTTGATGTCATCCAAGCATCTGATCTTAATTTCCCTCCCTGCAGGTGTTTAATTCGAAGAACTTCAGACATCCTGTCCAAATACCTACCAGTGAAGATTGAACAGGTGGTCTGCTGCAGGTACCAAAAAAGCATGCACTCTGCCTGGGAGCAACAGAAAGGGCTAAAAAGTTGCAAAAAGCCCTTCAGTTTTTGTGACTTCTTCCCTCTAGGAATGATGTTGTAGCCATGGGTCATCTGTTGCTTTTCTTCCTGAAGCTGGGATGGACAACCCGCAACTGGTGGTTCTGCCAGCCAGCTGGTGTGCTCTGGGCACGTGTAGAGCAGAGCCTTGGGCCATGCAGAATCTCTGCAAGCTTCTCTTCCAGCTCTGAGCTGAGATAGCAATGTTCTACCAACAGCCTTGGAGGCTGTTGTAGGCTGTCTGTGCTGTACCTAAAATAATTGAGCTGAAAGGAATGCACTGCATAGATGGAGCAGGATGGATTTTGATTTGGGTTATGCTGAGACTGCAGAGCTCTTGTTCTGTTTCAGACTGACACCTCTGCAGGCTGAGCTGTACAAGAACTTCCTGAAGCAAGCCAAGCCAGTGGAGGAGCTGAAGGAGGGCAAAATCAGTGTGTCATCTCTCTCTTCCATCACCTCCTTGAAGAAGCTCTGTAATCGTGAGTTGTTTCATTCATATAATGGCTTTGGGTTTTGCAGTGTTGGTGGGGATTTTTGGGGTCACCTTTGTGAATTCCACAGTCTCTGAGCTCTGTTTATTCTCCAGACCCTGCTCTTATCCATGATAAATGTGTGGAAGAGGAAGAAGGATTTATGGGAGCCCTGGACTTGTTCCCTGCTGGCTACAGCACCAAATCTGTGGAGCCGCAGCTTTCAGGTACTGTAGAACTCGACAGTACGGATATGCTGCCTAACACACACAACCATGAGACTGTATTTAACATCTTATCAAGTGTTCTTCCAAGGCCTGGAATTTGGGAAGTTCTGCTCTAGCTTTTTCTTTCTTTCTTTTTTATCCAGGAAAGATGCTGGTTTTGGATTACATCCTTGCTGTTACCAAAAGCACCAGCAATGACAAAGTGGTTTTAGTGTCTAACTACACTCAGACACTGGATCTATTTGAAAAGCTCTGCAGGAGCAGAAGGTTTGTCTTTAGGTTTCATTTGTTTAATCCTGCAAGACTGTACTTGCAGCTTAGGCTGTAAAAGGACTGGCTATTTCTACACTTTGTA